TCCCTGGGTCCAACTGTGGCGATCCTATTCTCATCCAATCCTGCCGGGTCGACCCGATCCCTGGGACCAGCTACGGCAGAGCCTATTCCCCCACCCAACCCTGCCGGATCGACCCGATCCCGGGGTCCAGCGGGACAGAACGGACCGACCCTCCCGGGTGGCTTTCCCAGCTTTGACGCCGCCCCTTCCCCCAAACCCCGATCCCCGTCCCCACGGACGCCCCTTACCCGAATCCCCCAGGCAGGGCTCGGCAGCGAAGCACAGCGCCAGAAACAGCCCCGCTCCCGCCGCCAACGCCATCGCGTTTCGGCTCTCCAGAGCCCTTGCAGCCGAATCTCCCGCGGATTTCACCCGAACCCCTCGCGCCGGGTGGCCGAGGACCGGATCCCCGAGGAGAGCGCCTAAGCCCGGGCGGCGCGCTCCTCCTTCCAAGCGGCCGGGCGAGAGGCGTTTGATCGGGCGCAGCCTCGCCCGAGCGCTTCTTGTTTCGGAAGGGGGAGGGGCTTGACGGGGAAGCCTCGCCCCCTTCTCCGAATCGTCCCGGGCGGGGAAAGGGGGCTACCTGAAGTCCGGACAGCTCAAATCGGGCGTCCTTTTCTAACAGGCGCTCCAGCCCATTTATTTGCTTGAGGTCGGAGAGCGAGCGGTTCTGATTCTCTCCAGACGCAGAGCCTTAACAGATAAACAGCGTTGGAAGGGATCTTGTAGGTCATCTAGTCCAACCCCCACCCCATCTCGCCCAAGCAGGAGATCCTACACCGTTTCTGACAGATGGCACAGCCCAGTCTCGTCTTGAAAGCTTCCAGGGGTGAAGCCGAAGCAACGGGGCGGGGGCGGGGGGGTGGAAATGTAGGTTGATGAAAGGAAGACAGATTGGGGCAAACGGGGTTTGTCTGAAGCCTGGGAACCCAATGGCAGCTAGTCTGTTTTGGGTTGTTGTTTTTTTTAAAGAATAGAATAGGAACTGGGAGGGACCTAGGAGCTCTTCTAGTCGAGCCCCCTGCTCAATCAGGAGAATGTGTATCGTTTGTGGTAAGTGGCTGTCTAGTCTTTTCAGTGACAATTAATCAGTGGAACAACTTGTCTCCAGAAGTTATAAATGCTCCAACACTGGAAGTTTTTAAGAAGAGATTGGACAGCCGTTTGTCTGAAGTGGTGTAGGGTTTCCTGCCTAGGAAGGGGGTTGGACTAGAAGACCTCCAAGGTCCCTTCCAACTCTGTTATTCTATCCTATCCCTATTCCTATTCCTATTCCTATTCTTATTCTATTCTATTCTATTCTATTCTATGTCTATTTCTATTTCTATTCCACTGCATTCCATTCCTATTCTATTCTATTCTGTTCTATTCTATTCTATTTCCATTTCCATTTCCATTTCCATTTCCATTTCTATTTCTATTCCATTCCTATTCTATTCTATTCCTATTCCATTGCATTCCGTTTCTATTCCTATTCTATTCCTATTTCTATTCTATTCTATTCTATTCTATTCTATTCTATTCTATTCTATT